AATATATCTATTAAAGATATGTATACCTGTGCAATTATACCTTCTACCAGGAAAAATGATACAAGAATCATTTTAATCCTTCTAGATCCTGGCTTTTGATAAGGCCATAGACCAATTAACGACATGAGAAGGCGGTTGAAATTGAAATAGCGACTTTCAAATAAATGCATTTCGATTTGCACGTTGGAACTTTGAACTACATGAGTACAGAATAAAAAAATCCCCCTTATTTCTTTTTTTCTTCGAAACTGTTTTTTTTTTCTGGTTTGTGTGCTCTTAGTGCATTGTTATCCGAGATAATGTTGGTATATTATCTGATACCTTTTAAATTGAAAAATTTTCTATACCTCACAAGAGGGGAAGTAAAAAATGTGCAGATCAATTTCGTTAATAGGTCTCTTTGCGCAGAACCATAGATAAAGGACACTAAGGAAATTATACATAATGACAAATAATCGTCGCATTAGGTGTGAAAGGAAATGTATTCTGTGAAAATAAAAAAAATTTTCTTTCTTCCAGTTCGCGCAAACGCAGTAACGCGAGTCATCTTCGCAACTTATTGAACAAGAGTGCCATTCACGGTTGAACAGTCGGCCAGTACACATAGTCGTTATTTTTTCCCGAGGAACCGATTCTTCAGATCGTGCGTGTCACCACAAGACGTTTATCTGATTTTCAATAAGTAAGTATTGATTAATATGGTGATTAATATCGATCAAACATGTTCACATTTCTAATTGCTATCCAAGTCGTGTAATTTATAAGTTTAGAATATAACATACCCCTACATGCAGGTATTGTGATCATTATGCGTTTAAAAATACAAACAAATTGTAGATTATAACTTATAAAAATTATTCCTGCTATTGAAGAAACATTCTCAATATATCTTCTTCGCACTGAGAGAAATACTTTTTTAATTATTAATATACCATGAGTTTAGACTTGATATATCTTTGTCAGAAATATACAAATGTCAATGTAAATTCGTAATATTTAATAATAATATACGTAACTGTATAGTAAAAATACCATCAATTTATATGAAATTGTATGTATATTAAATGTAATGTCTTTGTAATTAACAAATTTATATTAATTATTAATATAAGTATAATCAATAATCTCAAATACATTATTTCATTTGTCGAAATTGATAAAATATTTTACGCAAACATACATTTATTTATGACAAAGAAAGTCAATGTTATATTATTACTAATAATCTTTATTATTAATAAAGGTATGCAGTAATATTATTTTTATACTGATAAATGTAGTTATATTCAGTGATACGCAATATAGCATATATTAATTATGAAGAAATATTTATTAGGGACGGACATAAAAAATTCTTACATTAACGACAAAGCATGTATATTAACTATTAATATACTGTTCTCTCAGTGCGTGATATTTGTAGATGTCATTGTTATCATTCTAATCGCAAAAGTGTAAAAACAGTGATTGTGTTGCGTTTTTATCGTTACACTGAGAAAAAAATTTGTTAATCCCAAAAAATATTTAGTCCGATACGAGCAACTAAATATTTTAGGTAATTTAACTAAACGTTAGTTAAATTAATTAATTCTTAATTAAAACATTTTAAAGATTGACATGAATGCATTATACCTTTTTTAGTGCAACTTAATAATTGTTGAAACAACTTAATGTTTAGTTAACTAACTAACATGTTTAGTTGCTCGTATCGGACTAAATGTTTTTTGGGATTAACAAATTTTTTTTCTCAGTGTAGTTTCCAGATTATTATCTCAAAAAGTCTTGTGAAAATAGGCATTTTTACAAATGTTTTATAAAATAACATTTTATAAAACAACTAGCTGGTTACCCGGGCTTCGCCCGGGAGTCGTTTTTCTTCAAACGACTTCATTTGTATTTCAATATCCTTAATCAAAAAAAATTCCTTTATCAGACAATAGCTTATCAAGCAAAAATCAATTAAATAATTAATGTTTTTACTAAAATAATTTCTACTAATTGTAGATATTTATTATTTCCATTTTGTTCTATCGGTTAGTTAATTCTTCTACGGAACTTTTGCAAATTTTAAGATCCTGCTTTTTTTTTCGTTGAAAAAGGAAAATGTTTACGCATACCCTAAGGCCGGTCTCCAGGGTTATGCCGGACTTATTCACCGACTAAAAACCTCCCCCGGCCCCCAACCCCATAACTATCAATCCCATAATAAAAGTTTAAAACTCAAGCATCTGGAATGTGTTGTTCAAACGGAAAAGTTAAGCTACCGCTTTTAAATCAGCCACCCGATACACTTTTTATGTTTATGTCAGGAATTACGTCAGAATCAAAAACATTTCCTACAAAACATTCGGTCAATTATTTACCGAAAAATTGAAAAAATTTCGGATAACGGTTCCCAAAAAAATCGGTAACGAAAAACTATACACTCTATAACACTCCCCAAAAAATTCTACCCCTATATATTTTATGCTTTCATCGGTCAATTATTTTCCAAAAAAATGGAAAAATTTCTGATACCGGTTTCCCAAAAAATCGATAACAAAAAATTATACACTTTATGGTACTCCCCGAGAAATTCTACCCCTGATTCATATACAATTCTTTAAAATTCGGTCAATTATTTCCCGAAAAATTGGAAAAATTTTGGATACCGGTTCCCAAAAAGATCGGTAACGAAAAACTATGCACTCTATAACACTCCCCGGAAAATTCTACCCCTATTTTATATACTTTTGGTAAAAATTCGGTCGAATAGTTTAAGAGTGTATAAAGAACATACATACATACATACATACATACATACATACAGACATTCTATTTTATATATATAGATAGATACTTACAATTAATGTGATTTATAATTGGTATTGAATTATCAATTGATTGTTACCTAACGTTGACTCATCACGCATAACTAAACTGCGTTTGAGCCCATTTTCCCTTGTTACTCGTAAATTTTAATATCAAGATCTTTAATTAATTCCATTTATTTGAACTAATATGATATTACAATAACAATTATTTTTATACGAAATCCCTTCTACAGCTTTATTCAAACAACAGGTATTTTACAGGTGTCCCGGTTTGACGATTTTTTTCGGACGACAACGTTCATGCACAGAATATCGCATATCCACGCATTTAGAAGAGTGTGTTGCATGCACAATGGGAAGGCGAAATGGGGATCGACTCATTTTGTGATGCATGCATCTCTTCGTTGTGCGCTATATAGCTGGCACATAGCGCTGTTAGACGAGGCCTGGCATAATTGTGCAATACGTGTACCTCGCATATCTCAGCGTGCATCCTTCCTTCCGTTTCGCCCTTCGAGAGCTACACTGCATACCTACCAAGCGCAACTTACTCAATGTCGACGAATAACGGGGCGGGTTGCACGTCGATACGTTGATTCGCGCGTACCGTATAGCTGGCAGACGAAATGTTCGTTCTTCCAAACGACTAAATCGGCATCGATTGGCATCATCAAACGCACACAAAATGATGTCCACTCGACTTCCAAATCAATTTATAGCAAATCACGTCGAAACGTAAGTAGAAAAATGCGTACGAAATGAAATCATATCCCGTATTGTCAATGATAAAATGCTGTTTGTGTATGTGCATACTTCATTACATACCTAATACATACTTTACAATAATCTTTCAAATGTTCTTATAAATAATATTATTACGGTTGAAATACATTATATATTTTTATACTTGTATTTTTACATTGACTTACATTTTGTTCTCTTTTGTATATCAGATGTTATTAAATTCTTATGATTATTAGCAAGAAAATTTCATTGCTTGTAATAATTAATCTTTTACAGTTAAACGCGAAGAATCATCTGGGTCTTGTTGTGAGATTAGTAAAAATTATCTCCTTCAGATTGCAAAATTCTTAAGAGACAGTAATAAATAAGATTCTGCCACATTCATAGACTATTTGATCATAACGATATGGCGATGAAACCGGTTACGAATAAACTTCGACGATCGTATAACAAAAAGTAGCAAAAGCCAAACTGTTAAGCTGTGTCTCTGATGAAAGCGAGAGAAATCGCTAAGAGAGTGGATTAAAGTGAGTACTAAATTAATAATTTAATTAGTTATATTATTTGTATCTTTCTATTTACGTAATATCTTAATGCGTGCATATTTTTTCAGATGGAACTTTTAACATTTTAAACGAGAACCTGTCAACCATTATCAATTAACTCCGAGAATCTGGATTGAGCATTTGAGCATCATGAGACACATTTCTGTCTATATTTTTAGTTTTAGATTAATAAGAAAATAATATCAAGAAAATATGATAGGGAGTTCAGGGAAGAAAATATGGAAATACATCAAGTACGAGATAAGCAATAAACTTCTATATTAAATTTTATGCAAATAGATTGTGAGATATTTATCATTTAAAGTAGACAGACAGACATGACTGTAATGCTACATGTAAGAGAAATACGAATTGCAGCGCTTTTATAATTTTAATACTCCCTTTCACACATTTTTTCCTCTTTATAAGTTTGCTATTCTATTATTATAACAAGTCAGCTTAGAACTGGTTAAATAGGCTTTCTAAAACAAACGAGAAGATCCTCGAGCAGTTCAGTGTCACAACATGATTTGTAAAAGTACGTTTAATACGTTTATTATTAGATTCTTTAGTGACAGTCTAGACTGTCACTAACAAATGGCTTTTAATTAAATAGTTTTTCATTCTCTATATGGAAACTGCAAAATAACGTCGCATAATTTTTTCAACAACGATTTCAACTTAACAAAATTAAAAAATACGCAGCTTGCGAATACAAGTATATAAGTGAAGAGGCCTGCGGCCAAAAATGTTTTCATATTATCGTGCTTACACTGAAAACAAATATATATTGCGTTTATGTACATTAACGTAAATGCAAATGCAAGTTATGTAAATCTATTCTAACTTATTAACATCGATACCGTGCTAAAAAGCTTAATGCATTGCACGACAGCACTCTCACATTTTCTGTCAGTAAATCGATAAAAAAATATTGCTTTTTGTTACAATCTAGTAATACAGCATTTTAAACTGATAGCAATATAAATTCTATTTTGTTGTATACAAGATATGTATATTTCATCTTTTTTTTCTTCAACTTTATACGGTTGTGCGTATATATTAACGTGAAATGGCGGCATCAGATGCTAAATGCGGCTAGTACCTTGTATTCCTCTCACCTGCATAAATTAACGCATAATACGCGATGCGAGTCATCGTTTTGTACTTGGAGCAGTTAGGCCCCTTCGGATGCAGTTTCCTTCCCGAATTTATCGCCCGTCCGAATCGCGAACAAGTCCATATAACCCGTCCGTGATCTCGGTTCCCACCTAGCCCGCGTGCAAAACCTGCGCACTCGCCGCGCGCTGTTTTCATTCTTGTATAAATCTCATTGCAGGCAATATATATTTGCACACGGTATTCCTTTGGCCTTCTCGCTCATATCGACCATTGGAATTTATCTCGCTGACCAGACGCGAATAACCGAGATGAATCGTTGCCGTGCTGCCTTTTAATTTCATCCTTTATCGTTTTTATTGAACGTGCGTGAGATACAGAGTATTCTTGAGTCATCCTTATTCTTTTCAATATTTCAGATGCTGATCACAATAGAATGAAGGTAAGATATATTAATATTCGAATATCTGGATAAGTTTATATGTTTATATATGCGTATTTTCAATATTTACTGTTTAACATTTAGAAAATATAACTTAATACTTTTATTAAATTGCACGTAATATTTCTATAATTTTAAAGAATAAAAGATATTAAGAAGCTCTAAAACCATTAGATGTACAAATATTTATAATGCAAGTGACTGATTATTGTGATAAATATTTTAATTAAAATTTTTTAAATCTCCGTATAAATATATTTTTTACGTGTGTATGTATGTGTATGCAAATAAATAACAAACCAAAGTAAATTATAAAAGGATTAAACTATGGAATCGTATCTAATATTCCTTGATGTAATTTTACATTCCTTGCAGCTAAAACGATCCGAGAGACGAAAGAGTTTCAGAAACAGCCGCGAAACAATAGGCATAACTTCTAACACGGTTGACACGCCGGTTACCGCAAGCCGAAAGCAGCTAATACAGCAAGTTATCCACTTAGAAATCCGACGGAACATTGCGAGAGAAGAGTTTGAGGAGTCGGAGGGTGCAGGAGGCTGTTACCAACTTTGGATAAACCGGACTAAGTTTCCTCTGGCTCGGTACTTACGAAACTGCCACGCGAAAACGTTCAAGTTTATTCTTCTCTCACGCACCGACAGAGAAATACTGCAGGCATCGATTTGTATAACGATTAAGTTAATTAAGCGCTTTAATGTGTTGTTTATCAAATCTCCCTTGAAGGTAACATGTCTTTAGAAACCACTGATGGCAAAAATGTTTAACAAAATAAATATACCCGAGTGGAAATTGGTCTAGCCAATCTGCATTTTACAGCTAATAACTGTATCACGCAGGCTAGATATGTTACCTAGCCATTGACTAGCTTATTAGCTATAATTTATGAATATAATTCTTCGCTGTCTAGTACTTACTCGATGGTGCAACAGAATTATTTTCATTTTTAGATACTTCAGCATTCTTTCCGTGATGAAGGATTACATATTGCTATATAATTGTACGTAATTTCTTAAGCTTTATCGTTTGTCACACAAAAAGAATATTTGATGTCGCAATGAAATATTTTATGTCAGGACTTTAAGCTGACAATTTGTGTCCTACAAAATGGTCCGTTGTGATATTTTATCGAGAAAATATTGGACCCAGTCAGGGATTTGAGATATTTCAGTGTGGTCCTGTTCTCTAAAGATAAGATTCTCGTTTTCCATCAAGGTCGCATATCCACGCAGTGACAAAGTGAACGTTTGCAATTTTCAAAGAATTATGTCGAATTTTTGTGAAAGTTAGTTTGAAGAAGTTTAATGTTTCTATGCTTTTCTCTCTGCTTCTTTCACTCTCTTCTTTTTCTTTCAACACTACTTTCTTATGTTACCTACTCTTATAACGTGTGATTAAAAAATTATATATTTATGGATACCTCGTTTAAAAAAAACTATTTTAATTTTAAAATCAGTTTCGAGATGTAGAAGAGATGTAAAAAGAGGTAGTTTTATAAATATAGTTAAACTTCCGCTTTGGAATGTCTAAAGAAGTAGAATAACATTATAAAATAATCTAAAGAAGTAGAATAACATTAAAATAATGTTATTCTACTTCTTATTAAATTTTATCTGAATAGGTCGCGCGCCAAGAGAAAATCGAAGAGTGTCTTCGACATCTCGTCAGAACGGGACCTTCTTCCGAGCAAACACATTTCCGGCATGTTGTATAACGCAAAAGTAAAGGAAGGATGGCGCGGAGAGGAGGAATAGTGTATGCAGACGCGAGCCTATATCAAAAGTTCGCTTCCGTTGGGGACCGCGAAAAAGGAGACGATGACATGGCTGCGTCAGGTAAGTTGACTCAGGACGAAATTGGTTTCGATGCGTGTCGGCGAATGTCGAACTTTCATCATGATACCTTCACTTAGATAGACATCACTGTACTTTCGCAGTTTTCATGAAAGGGAAAACTGCAGAAATTCTTCAAAGAAATATGCACGGAAAAAATATTCGTGCTTAACAAGTTTAAAACACAACTCGAAATTTACGTCTTACTCTTATGTTAAAATTGTTTTTCACATTATATAAAATGTTAATAAGAATGATATATAATACACTGAGAAAAAAAATTTTCTGCATTTTAGTAAATATTATTTTGCATACAACTGTGACTACATTTACTAAAATGAATAAAATTTCCCTTTTTATTAGTATATGTGTACTCGCTGAGAAATCACAGTTGTATGCAAACTAATATTTACTAAATCGAACAAAATCCTTTACTTCAACCAAACTGGCACTTAGTGCTTTTTAAATAAAGACTGCCAGTTTGGTTGAAGCAAAGGATTTTGTTCTCGATTTATTACTCATTGGCGAAGAAAAAGTATCTCATCTGTTTAATATTTACTAAAATGCAGAAAAATTTTTCTCGGTGTACGATCATGTCTATTATATGAAATTTCATGTTATTTTTAAAAAGATAATAAATTAGTTTATCTTCATGAAAGGAAACAATTTCGTAATTTTCTGAGAGGAATAAATTTAACACGAAAAAAAAACTCATTGTCAGAATGATTTAAATCCTCTCGTGATTAACATAACGTCAGTCAAATCCTATGAGACAATTAAAATGAACACTTGACAGATAATTTATTAAAGGTAATATGCGCTAAGTCCGCCATATTTGAGTTTTATAAAAATATATGTCTTTTAATATTAATCTATCGATATATCAAGATAAAATAAAATCAGTCCTTCACATTTTTAAAAAGCCTGTAAATCACAGTCTTCTTTGTTTTAATTATATTTTATTTTTATTCAAAGGAATTCTGTTCTATAAGATTTATTTTGACTGTTAAAAATATTGTTCTTGTATATGCCGCTTTTAAAGGCACACAGTATAATTTGCTGAAGATTCGGTGGTTATCTCAGTGTAAGTATCTCGCTGATAAATGTCACTGAGAGATATGCGGATATGAAAGGCATGCAAATAAAAGTGGTACTCACGATATCGAAGTCCAGATTCTCGGCAATCCAGTCGCGTCCTTGTTTAAATTCATCGTGGAGACCCATGATGTAAAGGGTATCGAGTCCATCGACGATAGTCGCGCCCATATTTGAGGCCCCAAAGATACTGGCACTGTGACCTCTCTTCGAGATTGGTCTTAATTCGTTTTTCCCCCATGCGTACCGCACGTAGTTGTCCCAGCCATGCTTCATCATCTGCGCCAAAAAATCGCGAAAAATTAATGCAAACCTTTCACTTAAAAAAAAATCTACTAAACTATTTCTACGATTTATATAAAATAATGTCAATTATCCACACAATTGCCGTGATATAATATTATAAATCATATGTCTTCTTTTTGAATCGTACTTTTTCTTCAGCACAAAGATTTAAGTTTTTTTGAGGATTTAGCATTAGTTACACGGCATTTCATATTAATAATTAATATTGAAAATATAAATGTACCAAATAAAAAAATCAATATCTCGAAATTTTAGAATCTTCCTTCCATAATTAACGCACAGCCAAAGCATCAAGGATATATCAAGTTTATGTATAAGGATTATATGGACGCTTCACATGAGCCGTTCCGTGAATAACAAATATATTGCCCGATCCGTTCGTTGACCGTTATTTCCGTTTCTCTTGATTTTTCGAGCCATTTGCCGAGCACCCGCGGTCATGGTCGCTTCATCACGTTTTTATGACGGCATAATTTAGGGGCAATATAATATCGAAAAGACCTGACCAGTGGCATTACCAGAAGGGCCTCTTTCTCTCTCTTCCTCCGACTGCGCGGTGGTAATAAAAAAAAAAGCGGAAATTAGATAGCACAAAGAATCTCTCGCGAGATGACAGTAGAAGAGAAACGCGTGTCATTTTACAATTATCTACGCCCTGAATCACATTTAAATGCGAATCCGATTTATTTTCTGCGACTTTTCACAAGATATAATCATATTAAATGGAAATAACATTACAGCTTTTAGGAAATATCATAATTTTAAGCTAATCTACTGAAATTGGGTGAACGACGAAATTCTCCATAGTCTCTGGACTATTGAAAGGGATGATGATAAGCTCGCGCGATAATCGCGCGAGGGTGGAAAAGCGTTGAGAGGCGAGCTATCGCAGGAAGGATGCAAAATTCCGTGGCGCTCGAAAGGCGATGATGTCGCGTTATTACGTCGGGCTTAGAAAACGGGTTGGCGATGCAGAAAATTGCAGAGGACGATCGTATACGGGTTGGACGGCGGCATCACGCGTCGTTCAACGCCTTCCGCCATTATCCATGTAATCGTGGATAATTTGTTCCGTAGAAACCGCGGCGAATGCACGGCACATGTCGGATCTGTAGCCGGTAATCTGGTTAACATCCATGTTAGGATTAAACCATTAGCCTCGGTGTCGGTCGACGGATCGAAAGGGAATGGTGAGGAGCGACACGGGAGGGGAGGGGAGAGAGAGAGGAAGATGCAAGGCGGACAAGGAGAAGGCAAAACCTCGTGTCGGACGTGTGGCCCCGTTCAATTATTCTCTCTTTGTTACGTCACTTCCGTGGTAACCGGATTCTCTCTCCCCGGACTCATCCGGAAGACCGGAGCTCCTTTTTCTTTCTTCTTTTCGCTTTTGTAATCCAAGAGTAATCCGCATTAAAACCATTTAATGCGGTTAAGCAGTAAGCACCGGCACGGAAAAAGCGGTGCGTCGGTCGCGCGCGAAATACGCGCGCGAGAGATGTCTATTTTAATCAGCAGTAAAATTATGCAAGATTCATTTTTACTTATTTACATTTGGGAAACTGAAACGCGCTAAGGCATCGAACGTATTCGATAACTATTGGGAGTAAAATAAATAAAAAACGATTGTATCCCTCTCGTTTTTAATTCTTTTTTTCTTCTTCCGACGCGCCGTTTTGACCAAAATGCGGGAATTTATTACGAAACTCGTATGCGTACTTAGTCCTGTATCCTAAATTTAATCCTCTAATTAATTCAAGCTTATGGATAAATTCATTATTTTACGCGCGTTACTCACGCGCAGACAAACCGCGGCAGGTCGGGGCATCGCACAGACGATATGAATTCTGTATAGAGCTCCCCGCGGGAGCTCTCTCGCGTTTTGAGAGAGAGAAAATATCCTTTCAAATTGCCTATGCTCCACGCATTTCCATTAATAAACAAAATGCACGCTGGAAAGGAGGAAAAGCAGCGGCGTAGCGCTTCAGCGAAAAGGGAATGGAGGGCGGGGAGGAAGAGGAGGTGAGGGGGAGAAGGGGCGGGGGCGGGGGTTGCGGGGCGATACTCCGTCAGACGATTGAGTATGCATGGTATACACAAACAAAGCAAAAGCTTTGGATACTCCAGGGGAGATGCACACAAATGCGCATCGGTGCACGGTCTGTGCGTGCGTGCGCGCGCGGGGGTGTATTGCCGATACCGGGCACGTATAAGTGTACTTAACCGTGGCGCTTTTATTTCCTCTCTTTATTTCCCGCGGTTTTCAATTTACGTTATTTATTGCCCTTCCACGACCGTCCCAGTCGTCCCGCCGCGCGTCGGCGTCCCACCGTGATTTTGTGAAAGCTGCACCCCAAACCCTCTGCCTCCGTCAACATATACCCACACACACCCGCTCTCGCGCGCGTATATATACGTGTACGCGCGTGTCGGGCGCACACGCGTGTGCTTCCCAGAACCAACACCAGCAGGAATAACGCCCCCGTATATACGCGATATCCTTTTTTACCTGCGGTACGGTGAGCCTGCACGAGGGTCAACGTCATGAAGCCTTTTAAAAACGATTCGCGCACGTCATAAAAATCTAACCGCGCCCGTCGCGCACAGAGAGGCGAACGCATTTTACGCGTCGCACCTTTGAGGGAAAAGTCAATCGAGGAAGGAAACTTAATATGTAACAGAGAGAAAAGGTAAATAAACTAACAATAAGTCAAAAAAGAAATAAGAAAAAATGAAAAATTATACATAAAAAGAAATTATAAAGCAAGAGAGTATAGATTCATTTCGGTCTGAATTTTTTGTAGATTTTCAATCGTTTGTTCATCAGCGAGAGTTTATCACACGAAAATAAGTAAAAATCTTGGGTAAAAACAGTTTAATATCTAATGACTTTTTTATTTGTCGATTTGTAAATTATATTCACCGTGTAGTTTCAAGACTCGAGTAAACGCATCATCTTCTGTATTTCTCATCATAGCAGAACGAGGTGCTCAATTATGATGCTCAATTGTTATTAGATCTCATTTAAATGCAATTACTAAATAAGACTTATGACGTGTGTATCTCCACGATTAAATGTCATTACGTAAAGTTGCTTATGCGGAAGTCGCCGCGACCAGGCTGCTGAGAACGGAGGCTGAAAATTTATGTAGCCAATCACTCTTCACGAATCGTACGGGTTTTTATCCAAACTAATAAATTTTTATACCGAATTCATTATCGTCGGAAACTTTCCTGACGTTCTAAGTTTCTCGTTACTTTATTATACGTTTATCAGATATATATTTGAAGTCCCGCGAATATATATATACATGCATCTCCCGCGCAAAGGCGCTACTGTATAATTGAAAGCAAGCGCACAGTAGAAAGAAATATAAATGCATATTCATGCAACGTGTTGCATGCACCTCGAGTTGGGAGCGTGAGAGCAAGCATGACACCATGAGAACCACTACGTAAAGGACGTTGTAGGGTAGGAAATTCTACTCATCTCGAGCGTCTCTTGGCACATATACAACTCAGCTCAATGCAGCGAGTTTAGGTACAAACGGCCCGAGATATGTATATGTCCGCTTGCAAAGCGCTTGGTACAGCAGTAGGAAGTAGATATGAAGGTTGCGTGAGAGATAAAACGAGAAAAAGAAAGAGATTGAGGGGCGGGAGGGTAGAGAGGAATAAGGGCGCCAAGATAAGATGACAGAAGAGACCCCGGAATCCTACATCCAAAGGGATTGTCTTTGCGACCCTTCAACGGGATTTAGAGTAATTATAGCTTTGTTTATTATTGTTAGGCGAGTTGCGCATTGTACAGGCGCTCTCAAACCAACGCGAATTAATCTTTGCTAAGTGGAGCCGATGTGGCACTGGCATTCCCATTTCTCTTCCCTCCGCGCCATTCTGCGAGATCCGCGGATGAAAGGTAGCTACAGAAGAGCCAGCGCCTTCGCTCGCTCGCCTCCCCCCGGCCCCGCTTCGTGAACTCCATACTTCTATCATTATCCTATTCTGCCTCCCTTAACTAGCATCTTTCATTAAAGGAAGCCGTCACCATTGTGCCCAACTTGTACGACTCGATAGACAATGCGACTTTGTCGGACTCCCGCAGTTGCCATTCACGCCGCTTACTCTTGGATCCTCCCCACGAAATTTCCAGATCTCTAAGTGCTAATTCGCGAGGAAGAGGATATATCCTACAGACGCTATCGTAACGAAGCACCTGGAGCTTTGGAGCCAGCGAAAGAATGTCAGGCTAGTATTATTAATGATTTGCGTTGAATAAATAACCACGCGATACGATGAAATTCAAAATCTGGTGTTTTTATCGTATATTCTTGTAAATTTATGAATTTGTGTAACGAGATTAAAAATATTCAAAGTCTCTTTTGTCCAAAAATAAAGGGAGGTATAATTTATAAAATAAGGTTGAAAAAAGATGCAATAACATTTTTACATAATAATCGTGGTAACAAACTTGATATATATTCTTTTCTTCTTATAAGCTTAAAATACTAAAATATTTTTGAAATCTTGACTCTTAATTTTTTTTTATTTACTTGTTCTATTATCGTGTCATAATTATTATTATTACAAAAAAGTTACTAAAACCTTTCGGTAGAATATATATAATATAAGAGTGATAATTTTTAAAGTTAATAGATTAAAGTTAATAGAAAAAAATAGAAGTAATAAATAAATGAATATAAATAATTAAAATTTAAAGATGTCTATATAGCTGCTTGTCCTATTTGATTTATCATAAAATCCTATAGATACTTAAATTCGCTTTTCTTAAACTATCCCGTGGTTGGCGAGAACGGCGATTATTTCAAGTTTAAGAGGGTGAAAATTTAATATCTGATATGCGCGATTAAACGAAGTGAAGAAACGCCTTGAACGTGCGGGCATGAAAAATGCGCGAGTGTTTTAATCAGCGTCGGCTCCATGGCATGATAATGGGTGGTCACGCCTACTGCATTAGCTCGACTAAAAACAATTAGTCTGATGGCTACCCACGTTTCTCCGTTCGGAATTATTCAAGAACCGCAACGCCGCGCCGTGCCGCGCCGCGACGACGTAGCGATTTCCCTCGTTTCATCTAAAATCACCGGTCGTGACGCCGTCAACGAGGTTGCGCAATGAATTTAGTGCCATCGCGTTTCTTGATCATAAAGAATTAAAGGAAACACACAACGTCTACGATAAACCCAAAACGTAAAACTAATTGATTTAAATTAAAGAACACTGCTGTGTTGACACTTATTACATTAGTTAATTTTCTTATTGTTTCAGTTTTTAGTTTTATCCTAATAAAAAATGATAAAATGTAGTTTAGTAGAAATTTAAAATTGTTTAAATAAAACTCGCGAACACGGAAAATATTTTTATAATAATGATCTAATTTTAAAATGCGAACACTTTGAATAATACGCCATATTATTGTATTTTTCAGCGCTCTTCGTATTATGTAATTAAATAGAAACAAGTGTTAAATTAAAATATTTTCATTATAATATATTCTCACGTGAATATCTTTATAATTCAAATTATATATTATTAATATATGTATCTATGTATTATGTCATTACATGAAAAGTCTTGTAATTACAAAAATCATTTCATATACCTATAATCATTGTCTTCTGTGAACTTCTTTACGTTATTAATTTTCATTGACGTGTTGTTTTTTAAAGCGCGAAAATCATAATTAAAAGCATACTGTAAGGTAAAATATGAATGTTTAATTAAAATATATTTTATTTGGTAAATTATATCAATTCACTAGTAAATCACTTTATTTGGAATAATTGCCTTCGATATATAATCCACGAATAATTTGAAATCGAATCTTTTTCAAAATATAAGTAATTTCTTATTGTGTAGAAATATTTATAATTACCACAGCTGCGTAGCTACAAAAACTATTGGTCATATAATTGTACTATTCTTTTATTATTTTACCAATATTTTAACATTTTTCAACAAAATTATTAAATTTCATAAAATGTGCTCATTTATATCATTGATATTATATATTCACTTTTGTTCTGTGAAATCAAATATCACAATATTTATTTTATTAATTAGTTTTATTAATAATCACATTACACTATCTTTTTCCCAAGTAAAAATACTGGTTTTAATTAAAAATAGGTTAACAAAAGAAAATATTTAATTTCTGTATTATATCCCCTCTAGTTTTACATTTTCCAAAATATTCATGTAAAATATTAGTCTTAAAAGCATTAGCGATAAAATACTAATATGACAAATATTAACAGTTCTCTCATTCATTTTCAGATAAAAAGATGAAATGTCCATTTCATGACGCTGAATGCGATGGAATTAATTAACCCGCCCATCGAAATACGATCGGACCTTCCCTTCGACGAGCACCTGCTCGTCATATGTTACTGCGAAGGACAAGAATCGATTAAACTCTAAATTGAGATGGCTGCGTTGGATCAACTTAGTCATACTAGGTACGTCATGGAACATGACACATTTGTACGCCGGTCAATCCAGTTTGACACTTCACTGGACAGTGATCTGTCATTCATATTTTTTCTTTTTTTTTGTCGACAACTATCGGTTGCTCGGGGGTTAATTGATTGAGTTCCGTTTGTCCATTTCTGGCTCAGTATGTCGCAGTTGATTAATCTCGCTACCGAGGATTAAAAACTTGTATGGAAAACACATGTTTCTTTTTTGCATTATTAATGCACCTCCTCTATTTCATAAAATTGACGAAGTTAATTTTCTCTCTTGCAAACAATTACATTGTAATCTTATAAAGATACAATTTTGTAGGACTTTGAGGAGAACTTCAAGACTCTACTTCTTGATCAAATTAAATTTTTTTGTCAAAAATAATGCTAAGACATAATTACAATTCTGATTTAATCTAAATTATAATTGAATTTTAGAGCAATTTATTTGAATACTTCATCAGTCTAACTGGATCTTATAAAGTTACATATTATTTTTAAAAATTTCGTTTTATCTGTCTTAGCCTTTCGTCCCGAATGGTTTTCCCTGATTCTTTTTCCAACCTATGACCCACTAATCCAAACGCGAATATTGATGTGGCAGGACGAACAAAGAGCCCATCGGTTTTCTTTTACGAATCTCTTTAATTTCCGCCTCTATTTTCTGTGACGCCGCAGTGACGAACGACACGGCAGTGGTAAAAACTACCGTGAACAATATGAGTTTTCGGAAAATGTAGGTCTGAATATGCGTTCAAATGCAGGAAATGGAAATTTCACCTTAAACCATACGTTTATCAAAGTAGACAAAACGTAAAAGGTTGAATCATATTTCAATTTTATAACGCATGAAAAAATATACATTGTATAAATAAGTATAACAATAATGAAAAAAAATATATTCAATACAAAACTAAGAATAATCTTATTGTGAAGCTTACCTCCTCGAGTCTAACCTTTTGCATGACATGACGGCTTACCCCTTTTTAATTCTAGCATGCAAAACAAAAGTCAGATGTGATCTTACCTCCTTAACTTTTTCACGGCGCTGATTGGTCACATCGTCCAGAGGTGGATTAGGCGGTCTAATAACGTAAATGCCAGCAACGGACGCGGCTGGCGCTTCGACCACCGAAGGCTCAAATTGTTTATGTCTGATATCTAAACGTCGATCTTTATCTTTAACTTTATCTTTATCCTCGATTTCAGGCTCATCCTGCCCAGGGACCACGTTATCCTGCACCCAGGCCGGATTCAACTGTTCGTTACGTTCTTCCGGCGCGACGCCTCGATCGACGACACTCGCGAGATCGCGCCGTGTTATAAATGTTCCGGTTATGAGAAGGATCAGGATCACGGACAGCAGTCCGCTGATCGCTAATCTTTGCATGAGCCTCATGTCGTCTAGACACTTGCCGCAGCTCGACCAGCCGCCTGGAGTCTCGGACTGGATTGCGCTCGTATTGGCAGAGCTATGAAGAAAATGCGTGAAAGATTCGTTGTCAAATGTATGAATTTTTATGACAGAGCTTACTGATGTAACGGCAATCAACGATACGATTATAATAACACAATTTTGAGCACTTTTAATGCTTTTTGGACTCAAATTTTTGAATATGAAAAATTTGTTATTCAAAGAAAAATTTAAAGTTTAATTATTTAAAAAACGCAATTGATTTCTGAATTGATCCGTCTTTCATGTTCAAATTTTATCGCACCTTTGAGCAATTTAATGCTAATACCGATCACGAAAATCAATTTAAAAAAAATGTTGATGCCGTACATCAGAAATTACAAATATGAATCACATCCGCAGCGTCGGTACTTACTTGCGAACCACCTGTTAAACGTAATTTGAGCACGGCGGCGAATAAGTATGCGATTTTGTTCCAAGTTCTTACAGTAGGGTATATCAGATTGTTCCTTGGAAATGACTAATTCGACGAAATTAAGCCTATTAGGCCTCGCGCTTATCAGCAAAAATCTGCGAAGAAAAAGCATTAACTATATTACTAACCGAAATCTCCGAACGAATATAAACAGGATATTATTCGACGATCGTCTGCAGTCAGCGTTATGTTTAAAATCGCCCGAAACTATTGCCGGAGCAAGGTTCGTTGACTCGAGTCGCAAGGCTGATCCACCCGAGCGAAGGTAATTTTTCGGGGAGAACGATTACATCAAAGCGTCGCGCGAAAAAAATATTAAAAGCGATATACGTACGCCGAGTGCTGCGAGGGATGGCGAGAGCGCGCGGTATCGCCGATCGAGAAAGAAAGGCGAGCGGGAGGATACGAGAAGAGGTGAGAATCAAAGAAGGCGAGATAGTTTGGAGATTCCGAAGTCTCTGCCGAAATGTGATCACTGCATTTTTTATCGAGCCCGAGGGATCGCGAACGGTTTCTCCGGTCCTCCCTGGCATCGAGAGAGCCTGCGTGCATTTTATCGCCCCGGTCGCTGCAGGCGTTACACCTGCAGATCTCGATTTTCTTTCCTTTTTGCTATACGCAACGTGCCTTTCAGCGCGGCCTAAAATCTGCCGACTTTGCCCGCTCATTCGTTATCTATTTCCCCGGTCAAAAACGGCTTAAAACTGAGAGTTTTAAGAATCTCGAGTTTTAAAAACAATTCTCGCGATCATACAATCATCGATAAATATAATCGAGAATCATTCGCGAGTCTGCTCATTTAAAGGCATTTAATTATTGTGAATCACTTCTAAAAAAGACAAACATTTTTATTTAATATAAAGTATTCATTATTTCGAGATACTTGAATATATTGAAATAGATATATTCTATTAAATGTATTGTTAAAATATTATCGTTCAAAATTATATTATTCCCTAATTATAATAATGTAACTCCAATCGTGATTGTCTATTACTTCGCAGAAGTGTATTTTCCTAGCAGAGATGCCTGGTTTTACATTCTGTTTGGGAATTTAAGTATTCAAACGGCATTAATGCGGTTGCCACGCGACATACTAATAAGGCTAGGCGATCGTTTGTCGGATGTAATGTACTATTAGAATCAAACGACACGATTTCGCTTCACTTCATTACTAAAACAGCAAATTAGGTAGAACGAATTCTACGAAACATTGCGCTTTAAATTATTCACAAGGCCGCGAGTTTGTAGCACGATAACTGTCGATACTGCAAAATATCGTGGCAGAAAGTTCGAGATATCGAAGTTCAGGTACAGGTAGAGGTACGCGTTCCAACGTTGATTCAACTCGATCGTAAGCGATGGTCGAGATAGAAAAAAGAGAGCGAGACGGAAAGAGAAGAAACGGCACAGAAAAAAGGATGCAAAAGGCGAAAGAAGAAGAAAAGAAGACAGAGGGAAAGAGAGAAAAAAAGAGAAAGGGGCAAAAGAGAGTGAGAGAGAAGGAGAGAGAACAGCGCGTGTGATGGCGAGAGAAGAAAAGAGGAACGGAGGGAGAAGATAAATCGTCGAAGCTACACTCGGTGGCCAATAAATTGCGCGGCACAGCCCCGAGGTTACCAAGATTGCTACGTGTCACATTCTTGCGAAAAATTGGACCGATGGAAGTATCTTAAAGTCAGGCAAATATGCGTCGCGAATGGACACGTACGCGAACACGTCAGACCACCCACCCAATTGCGAAGCTGTAGCAAAAATAATGGATATTGCATCCGTTTTCTCGAGCCTTCGGTAAATACAACGCGAGTCTATTTCTTCCTTCTTCCGGTCTTGTCATACATTTGAAAGAACATACGGTTGCTTTTCCATTAATCATTGATATTACGTGCCAAAATGGTGCAATGTCATAAAGAAATGTTGGAATGTAGAACTGCTTTATGGATGACTTTTTAAACCTTGAACTGTCCTGACCGATAAATCGTTTAAACTAATTAGTAATATCTCTCTGATAAATTTATAAATATGATAAATATGATAAATTTATATACAAAAATAAATAAAAAACTTTAGAGAATTTCTCAGGATAATATCATACGAAGGTGTGTATACATAAAAAAAATATTTTTTAACCTTTCTATTAGTTTAATAATTTAATGATTTTTAAATTTAATAATAGCATATAAAAATTTAATAACAAGAAAATTAAAAAATTCCATTCTTGTCATCATGTATTCCTAAACATTTCAAACATTTGCATCGAGCTTTCGTTCTTCATTTAATTATTCGTTCATGATTTCCCGTTCATACGTTCTGTGCTTGAAACGACGTATATAACCGTCCTTCGAGAGCTTCTTCGCTGGGATGCAGAGAGAACCCCGCTCTCTTTTGATCTTATTATTCCCGAAGGATAAGCGGTCGCCGATCGTAAAGGTCGTATCTCTTGGCGCATCGAGTTCAATGAGGCACACGGAGATCCGCCACGACGAAGCGAAGGAGAATCGCGCGCTACTATACGGAAGAAGATGAAGAAGAAGAAAAGAACAAATAAGGAGAGTGAAATAAGAGACGCGAGAGTAAGAGCGAGACGTCGAAAGGTTAGCGGGTGGTTCAACCAATCTTCCACTTCGTCCGAGGTTTTACGAAGGGGGTAACAAATAGGGGTGGCAGAGAGGAAGGACGATTGCCAAGAAGGCGGCGAGGCGGGAGCACTCCCAGGAGTTTACGAGAGGACCGGTGCATGAACACGTCAAGGTGGGGCCTGGGGCACACCGGTGGTTACCGTCCCGAATGTCCAGCACGTGTGTGAATTCGTATATATGCACGGGTGCGTCTGATATACGTATATATACACGGAAAGGCGGCGGCGGCGGCGGGGACCTTGGAACCTGCCCAAATCGAGTGTCGGGGCACACTGTACCTCGCCTCTGAATACCCGGCATTAAAACCAACTATAACGCTCTTTGGATCTCGATTATCGGCGATTCCACCTTTGAGGGCAAGATATACGACTCGGTTTGGAGATGTCGTTTTGATCGTCCGATATTTAAACATTTTTAGAATATATAAATTAATATATTTAATAGGTGTATTACGCACGCTAGGTATCTTTAGATTCGATTTTATTACTGTGCTAAATTCTCAGTTGTATAAGATTATATTATTATGCAAAGTTATATAAACTATGATTTTTATCAAAATTATTGTATTTAATATTTGGAGTAAAGTTCAATGAAGAGAAGAGAGGGAGAGGAATACATTTTTTATTTAAAAAGAAAAAAGATATCGTGATTTTCATAGGATTGTTTATCTTTCGATATAATATTTATAATACACGCAATTTAATTTAACCCATTAAGGCCCAGTTCAACAGTGGCCAGTTAGCTTAACTAGTAGTTAACTCTCACTCTCCGTCTCTGTCTAACCTTTGAGTTAAAAAGAGACAGAGAGTGAGAGTTAACTACTAGTTAAGCTAACTGTCCACTGTTGAACTGGGCCTTAGTCTTTCTAAGGAGGTTGCTGCGCGTTTTTCTGTTTTAAGTCCTTGTATAACTCACAATCAGATCCTATAATTAAAATTTTAGACTGCAGTTTATATTTAGAGGTAAAAAGAATTGCTCTTTCCGAAAATCTAGTCAGCAATATAAAGTTAGATATTTAAGAATAAAAAAGATATAAAGATAGAAAGTGGAGATAAAAAAGTAACCTCTGCTTTCTTACTGAAATGTATTCAATTAATAAATTATTTCGTTTACCTTTTTGAGTAGAATAAATCGATATAATTATTATTTGAATGATCTATATCAAGAAATTTATTTGAAAAACTGGACGAAATTATTTATTAGCTGAATCAATTTGTTTGTCAGTAAAAAGGCAGGGATATCACTTACTTTTTTAGCTGCATTTTCAAATTTTATATATCTATTTTTTCCAGATATCCCATCCCATTATTGACTAGATTTTCAGAAAAAATAACTCTTTTTACCTCTAAATAGCAATTGCGGTTGAAAAAGTTTGATCAGAACTCGCGTTACAAGAATTTAAAACAGAAAAATGCGTAAGGCCTTCTAGGAGTTAATAAGATAGAAATTAGAAGCATTTTCTGGAAAGACACGAGTACTTATTTTATAAGGTAACTTTTTTTATTTCTTGAAATTAGAACAAATACAATAGAGATATAATAGACGTGTAATAGAGATTGTTTACACACGTATTTGCTTCGTCATTATGTGTGTAAGTACTTAAGAATCAGAGATCTAATTTATTTTTAATTAATGACTTCAAAGTTAGCTAATTTTGATACAATATCGATTTGCGCTGTAGCGAATAAGACATGGACAGTTCTTTGGAACTGATACGAAACTCATAAGAAACGAATAATTGTTGACCTGTCTTGCGTACTGTTATGCAGTTTCCACTTGCAAGAAGTTGTAGCTTTTTTTTTATGTAACTTTTACTATAATTCCTTCTCTTGCGAGTTCACTGCTTGCGTGACGTATCCAAGCATTTGTTCCCGGCGTACTTCGTAATTTACTCAGTGCGTTTGCATGTTTTATGGACGTTATATAAAACGTCGGAAATATACGGCGTCTCAAATATTTAAAGTTCGCTGGGGAATACGAGGCGAGACCTTCTCGCTCCCCTTACCCTAGGTACGTTTGAAATTTCTACAGTCAATCTCTCTTTGCGCCTTCCTCGCCGTTTCGTATCTCGCTCCGTCCCGCCTCGTCCCTCCTCAGAAACCCGTCACGGCGTGCAAGTCTGCAGAAGCTCCAATGGAAGTTTGCTTTCGTAAGCGAACGTACCGTTTCTCTAACTAGCGCAAACGGAAACAGCTGAGAAAGAGAGACAGATAGAGAGAGGGAGAGAGACGGAAGAAGGAAAGGAAGGAGAGCGAGCGGGAGAGAGAGAGGGGGAGGAAGAGAGTCCAGCCGGTTCCTGAGCAGGATCGGTGGTGCATACTAGCAAATCATACCTAAACTCCTAGGTTTGATTCCGCCTCACTCCCCCATTGATGCAGCCCGAGACTTTAGCCCGGAGGTATGTCTACTTAGTTTGCCAACTCATTACCCAATTATCGTTATAAGATCAGAAACCAGTCCGACTTCATGGCAAAGGCGAATCGGAGTAGTCGGGCGGAAATCTAAAGCAATGCTAATTGCGCCCTTCTCGATTCGAGAGGTCTCGTTAGATATGCGGCAAAGTGGATATTTAAAAATAAAGTTTCCGGCAAACAAGCCTCTCCGCTACTCATTTTATATTCACATAATCGCATCGATCTCGTGTACAAGAATAGAGAGCGAGATAGGACCACGAAACAATTTGTCATTTCGCGCGACTATCCAAATGTGCGAACTATTATAATTAAATCAGCCGCATTAGGCAGAATTATAAGTTTTTACGACGTTAACCGACACGACGATTAAGCCCCGGATGAATGCAAAATTGTAATTAACGATCCTCTCGTCACCGCTCTGCTCTGGCGTTACATATATTTATGCCTGTCCGTAAATAGTGTGAGCGCGCGCGTAGACTTGTGCGCGCGCGGTGCACACAGGGAAAACGGGATGACCGAAGACAATGCGGGCAACGTGTTAATCCCAGGATACCGCGTGTTTATCGCGGTTCGTCCAAGCGCCTCGAGGCTGTACTTGCAGGGTGTCCTACGGTTCCTTCGGTACCTCCGAGATATCAAGGGCCAGGCTTTGTCAGTAGTGGTAGTACCGAAGTCACCAACATCCGTGGCCACTAACTTACGTCGCACGATTAAGTCAAGGACTTCCCACTTCGTGCATCGAGTAGCGCCGCTCGAGACATATATCTGCCGCTTCAAGCCACGGGGATTTATGTATACAGCGGAGCCCGTGCGTTATTTCACTCGTTCAAAAATAATTCGACAGATTTGAGATATTATATATGTTGTCGATAGCATGCGCATACTTTATAACAATAACGTTATATTGATATCTCATTATCGGCTGTATAATAGCGATTTCGTTAAATGCCATTGTTCTGATTGGCGTTAATATCGTTAGTGACAGTTTATGTGGTTATTACATTGCACAATATTAAACTGGTATCAAAATTACGCAAACAACCGTGTACGCGTCGCTAATTAGCTTATAATTTCCAGTGCGTACGAGTATCGAATTTTTAACGACATAATCACACATGATAACGGCGTGAATCGAATATTATCGGTAATCAAGCTACAATTCATTATTACCGCACGCCACTGAGATTTCCATGCGAAGATAATGCAGAATACCAACGTTGTATTTTCATAAACGTCAAATGCCATTAGTAAAATGTACGTCCACATTCTAATGTATATGAATATTAGGATCGTATTTTATACAATATGCGCGTATATTTCGTTCTGAAATAAATTAAGCCTTATTACGCGATGGAAATTAGATATATTAATATCCTGGTGTCTAATTGAGGAGACGAGACGGATGAAACTTGCAAAAGAAACTTTCCGCTAGCGATTACAGAGTTTAGCAATTTCATCACGATCTAGCAAAGATACGATAAATGATTAACAAGGTGTCTCGTCGACACGGGGTCGTTGGCTCGTAAAGTTAGTTGATACAGTACGATGTGCGACGACGCAAGTTGCCTTGGTTGGCTTCTATGTCTTATATACGGTTTCCGTCGGATGCGAATTCATCTTGGAGTCGAACAGAATTCAACCGCTGCCGTGCCCCGGTCGTCCCATTAAAAGATAATCTTCTCATTGACCGAGGCGCCTAAAGTCATTAAGTCTTCAAATTCGCGTAAATAGCTTTGACTGTCACATCGCGAATTACATTTAATTTAATGGCAGAAGCTGAAAGAACAACACTGTGTATACAGTTTAATTCGATTTTATTAATGTTCAGCAAATTTATATTCGTTATATTTGGTTTAATTGGAATATATACGTTAATAAGTGAATATACAGTAATCATTCGGTAAAATAATTTTATTTGGAGACTTAATTCCCGCGCGGTAACGGCAGTACAAATATTCATCTTTGCAATTACTAAATATACGACATAAAGCAGTGCGTTTTGTTTTACAGCGCTGCGCATTCGAGATCAGTGGTGCGTCACACAACCCAAGTAAAACGAACCGTTCGACATACATTATTCAATTAAGATACGATTGGGGAACCGTGCGAATGACATCGGGGGAAAACAGTGGAACAAGTCGAGAAGCAAATTTAATTTCGCATTTGTAGCGGAAGGGAAAAAACCTCGGACCCTGAGATACGTGTGGGATGAAATTGCCCGACTGAAAAAGTCCGTTATGCCAAGGGACGGTCGTTATTCCAGTCAGATTTCAATCATTGTAACTGTGAGTAAGCAGAGTTGAAAGAGTTACTTTGTCGAATCAAGAGCCATCATCAGGCGGTACAGATTAAAATGTGAAACATACACAGAATTGAATTCATCTCTTTGCTTTAAATATAATAGAAAATATTTTCAGATTGTTGTTGTATAATTAAAATATTATTTCTTCGTAATTACCAACATTTGTTATTATTTTACAATGTTCTGAGAATAGTTAAGATTCGGATGTTAAAGAATATTCGTGTTTTATCAATTTAGAAAATATAAATATAAAGATTATGTATCACAGAACGCAGTAATAAAATGTAAACAAATTATTTCAGACTTATCTCAACTAAAGTGCAGTCATCAAGGGTCTCGTGATACCTTCTCAATTAATGTTTGTATTATCAGGACGAACAATATTGATATAAATTATAAACACTGAATGAGGAGAAACATCGTTTGGAAGAAAATGCGATAAATTTTAATTTGATTATGATGCAATCTGTAATTGTGTAACCAAATCATCCAACCTGTTGTGTGATAATAATTTATATTCAAAAAGCGAATAATCTTTATTTGATATTTCGAGCAAAAGCTTAATGAACTAGTTCGGTACGTTGAAAATGAATGAAATATTATACGAAATTTTTGCATAAAACTTGTACCGAATAAATTATTCTTTAGTGATTTTATTAAACGCGGCTATTCAATTAGTCATTATTTGAGCTCGCG